CCGGTAGGCAACATGTATAATCCCCCCCGCAAATCCGAACTTTATTATCCCTGTGGCATTAATCTCGGCAGCACAGGGTTATCAGGGTACAGGGCTGGGGCAGGTGCCCCGACTCGCCATGGCGGCTCCGGGCTCCCTGGGCGCCCTCTCCGGCGGCCCGAGAGCCGCCCAGACGGCCGTAAGTGCCGTCACAGAGACCCCAGAAGACTTCCAGATGTTCCGCGGGGCTTCCGGGCAGCCCCAGATAGCTTCAAGACGGCCTAGAAGGTTTCGCCGACCGCCCCCCAGAGGGCACCGAGAGGCAAACACCGTCGATCTTCCGGAGGTTTTTTCTATGTTTTTGGGATTCTCGATTTGTCGAGCTTCCGACGTTCCACGACGTCTACAGAGGCCCCCAAAACCACCCCAAGACGACCCAAAAGACCCGGAAGACCGCGCCACGACGGGCCAAGATGCCCCCCAAGACAGCCCAAACAAAGGCCCAAGAGGGCTCGCCGAGCGCTCCCCAGAGGGCGCAAAGAGTCATCCTAAGATTTATAATGCATTTTCGGGGCTCTCGACTTTTCGAGCTTCCGACGCTCCGCGACGTCCCCAGAGGCCCCAGAACCGCCCTGAGACGGGCCCATGGGCCCCAAAGAGTGCCCAAAGACGGCCCAAGGGGGCCAGCCCCAGGCGGCCCTAGAGGCGCCCAAGATACCCCAAGATGGTCCCAAGAGGTGCCCGAGCGCAGGAGCCCGACGCGTTGGTTCGAGCATTCCGTCCTAAGATGCCCCCAGACGGCTCAAGAGGATTCGAAAAGCGCTCCCCAGATGGACGCAAGAGGCAAAAAGCCAGTGATCTTCCTAAGGTTGTTCTGTGGTTTCGAAGGTCTCTACTTTTCGAGCTTCGCGTAGTTGTCAGGTCTGTCTGGTGCTGGGCTTGTCTTGACTTCCTCAGCAGCAGGAGTTTCCTCCCGATGAGCAGGGCGAAAAGGAGAACGATTCAGATGACGAGCGAAAGAGGGGGCCGGGCGGGGGACGGGGGACCCCGTCGACACCGATTTCTTCGTCAACGGCTTCCCTGCCGTTTTCTTTTGGCTTGGTTGAAGAGGAGGAGGCGGAGGAGGCTTTTGTGCTCATGGCGCGTTCATGCGTGGAGGCGCCGGCGTGGCCGCGCCTGCACTGCTTGCTTTTGCTGCTGCCTTCCCCTCTTACTTCCCTCCCTTCCCCTTCTGCCTTCTGCTCTCCCTCCTTTCTTCAGCCACGAGGTGACCTTCTCGCGCTTGTAAAGTGTGTCTCCCCGTGCCTGCGAGGAACGGAGCGTGCTTGCAGTCGCTCCCTCAGCCTCAGCCTCGGCAGTCCGTGTGCTGGGCCTCGCGGGTCTTTGCTCTGTGCTCGATCATCCCGTACGGCCCAGACGACGTGCTCCGCAAAGGGTCCGGCACGCTGTGCGAGTCGCTGCTTATGAAGGAAGCGCCGTGGCGTAAACGGGTCCTGATCGGTGGCGCGCCGAGGGGGGGCCTGGAGGTAGGTTATCATCTCGGAAGGCGGCGGGGCTCCTCAGAAGTCCTCCAGCCCTCTGCGACGCCATTGGTGGCCTCCGAGGAAGCTCAGAAAGCTTCTATGAAGGCCGGGATGAGGGCGAGGAGACGGGCCCTGGAGCTGTTTCAAAGTTTTCAGGCTGTGGGGCCTTCCCAGGTTCGGGGCGTCAAAAAACCAAGAAGGCTTCGAGCTGTCAGAGACTGGTGTCAATGCAAACGGGGGTCAGCCAGAGCGCAAGAGCTTGAATGATCGTGCAGCGCCAGGGTTGCATTGACTCGGGCTAGCGCGCAGGATCTTGCAGGATCGTTCAGGATCCTGCAGGATGTCGCAGAATCTTGCAAACCCCGACTTACCTGGGTGCGCACCGACTTGGGTCCAGTAGATCCCCGAAGGGTTAGATGCTGGTCCCAGTGGGGTGCCCCAGGGTGCAGGGGGCCCGTTTCCCTCGTGACCCGTTGTTGTTGCATGACATAAGGAAGCATTTGCTGCCAACGTTATCTTCCCGAACAAGCACGTCGATCCTCTGATGGAGTTCCACGAGCCGACGAACCGCCTCATCGAGCAGTCCTCGTACGAGGACGCCTTCCGATGCTCACCGGAGGGCCGTTTGAGACACCGGTAGTTGGCCTTCGGGGGCCCTTCTCGTCGCCACGGCTGGACGCAGCTCGGAAAACTGCCGCGTTTTGACCTCGGGAAGGGTTTGGGGACCGATTTCGGGCCGATGCTGAGTATCCAGTGTCTCAACTCGCCCTTCTCCGAGATGCATTTTCTTTATTTGGCGGCGTGGAGCAAACAGGCAGCACGGGTGAGGCTACCCGTGGTCACCTGGCATCTTCGGGGGGGCGGAGGGGGGGCCTTTTCAGTCCTGTGAACTGCGGTCTTCTGGTTTTTTCTTGTGTACCATGCGGGTTCGACTTGGGCTCTGCGTGGATTTTGCGGGGATCCGAAGCAGACTCAACGCGGAGTCGGACTCGACGCGGAACGAGGTGCGGATGTCATCAATCGTTCCAGACTAAACAGTCATCAACAGGCCTAACAGTATCACGGGGAAGCATAATCTACATACGATGGGCAGTTTGCAGTTTACTGTGACCAAGTCCGGCTCATTACAAGTGCAGCAAACATTGGGCACAACATGTTCGCCTGCGTGCAATCGGAGCCCTGTCACGACCGACCCCCAAATGAGTCCATCGCAAAGCGTAATGCGTTCTCTGGAATTGATTCCACGGAAACAGCCACGGTCGTTGAAAGTTTGCCCGGGTACCTAAGAGGGTTCCCACAGGCTATTGTGAAGGCCTTGCGGCCGGTGCCGCCGACCCTGAAGGTTTTGGCCGTCGATGGCGACGGGATGTGTGATAACAGGAAGGAGCTGAAGGACGACGTGACAGGGTAGGCGGAGGAAGTGTGTGTGAGGAGGAGGAGGAGGAGGAGGAGGAGGAGGAGGAGGAGCAGGAGGAGGAGGAGGAGGAGGAGGAGGAAGAGGAGGAGGAGGAGGAGGAAGTGCATCCTTTGTGTGCCCGCTCGAAGAAAGTGCGCCCCGGGAGTGTGATATTCTGACTTGGGACGTGCTCCCGGAAGAGGAAGAAGTGCATCTCGGGCGTGCCCGCTCGAGGAAAATGCGCCCTAGGGGTGGTGGTATGTTGACTTGGGGCCCGCTCCCGGGACGCCCCTGCGGGAGGAGGAGGAGGAGGAGGAGGAGGAGGAGGAGGAGGAGGAGGAGGAGGAGGAGGAGGAGGAGGAGGAGTTGGAGGAGGAGAGGAGCAGGAGGAGGAGGAGGATGAAAAGGAAGAGAAGGAGGACCAGGAGGAGGAGGAAGTGCATCCCGTGCGTGCCCGCTCGAGGAAAGTGCGCCCCGGCGGGCGTCGTATCTGCCCCGGCCCCCCCCCCTGCGGGGAAGGGATCAAAGGGAAGGGGCTTCCCTTCGACTCCACTACGACATTGTTTAATTTCGCTTTGGATAGCGCGCTTGAGGAGGAGAGCCCTGGGAGGGGGAGAGCGGAGACGACGGAGACGACGAGTCGAACGGAGAAGCCCCTCACACACGCCGACAGGGTCGGCGGATTTTTGGAGCGTCTTATGGCCTTCTTTGCTATATTGGAGAGGCCTTACGGCCGGCGCCGCCGACCCTGAACGACCACGACATCAACGATGCTGACGTGGGTCAGACTCCTCAGGAAGGTTATTGGGGGTCCTTTCGGAGCGGTCTCAGTGGCCTCTGGGGGATAGTGTCCGGGACTCTTGGGAGCCTCTAGGGGGCCGCTTCTTGGGGCTTCCCGGGGGCCTCCTGGGGGTCTCTTGAGGGCCTCTCCCTGGGAGCCTCTCAGGCCGAGGACTCGAAATGTCCGTTCGGTTCCCACGTCTGGGCACCCTCTTGGAGCCGTCTTTGGGGCTTCTGGGGCCGTCTTGGAGGCGTTTTGGGCCGTTTTGGGGCTGCCTGGGGTCGTTCTGGGGTGCTGTTCGAGGCCTGTGAGGGCGTCTGGGGCAGTAATTTGGAGCGTCGGGAAGCCGAGATAGCAAGAATCCCAGAATGAATCAAAACCCGACGGTAAATCAACGGATTTTGCCTCTCGTGGCTCGCTTGGGAGTGCTCTTGGAGGTATTCGAGGACCTTGTTGACCGATGTGGGCCGCTCTTAGGGCACTCTCGCCGCGTCTTGGCCTTTGCGCTTTTCTGGGCCCGGGGACCGCACGGGGGGGATACGTATCTGGGCGGCGATCCCCCCCGGGACCCCCCCTGGAACCCACCCCCCGAACCCCTTGTGGGACTCCCCTCCAGGACCTCCCCCTCCGGCGGGGAAGGGATCAAAGGTAAGGGGCTTCCCTTCGACTCAGCTGCGATGTTGCTCAATTTCACTTTGCTCTCGACTCACTAACGACGTTGCTCAATTTCGCTTTGGTTTCGCTGTGGGTGGCGCGCCGGGTGGCGCGCCTGAGGGGGAGAGCCCAGATGAACGAGACGGGGGACGGACAAAGAGCGTCTTCCACACGTCGAAAGGTTCGGCGGATCTGGATCCCCTAGCACACCTGGGAGCCTCGCGTGTCTCCTCACAGTCGCCGTGCCCTGCCGCTTTTTTGGCCCAAGCCAACAGCAGCTCCGGAAAGGTGTGGTACCGCCGCCGAGTCCATCCGGTCACGCGCAGGAGTTTCCCTTCGCCAGAGTGACCCTCGGGTGCGCGGCCTATCGGGGGGCGAGGGGGGGGGCAGACACGAGAGCGCAGGCCGCTGCTGTCGCATCGCACGCAGCGATCGGCAGGCCGCGCTCCGAAAGTCGCTCTTGTCTGGGGTCACCCTGACGCGCAGCCGAGCCACCGCCGCTCGAAAAACGCCCGCTCCTGCCATGTCTTTCAAGCCGCAGGTCGTCATCGACTGCCGCGGGCACCTCCTTGGGCGCCTGGCCTCTGTCGTGGCGAAGGAGCTCCTCAACGGCCAGCAGGTCGTCTGCGTCCGCACCGAGGACATCAACATCTCGGGCTCCCTCTACAGGAACAAGCTCAAGTACGCGGCGTTCAAGTGCAAGAAGATGAACTCCAACCCGAAGCGCGGCCCGCTCCACTACAGGGCACCCGCCAAGATCCTCTGGCGCACGATCCGCGGCATGGTGCCCCACAAGACGCCACGGGGCGCCGCGGCGCTGGACAGGCTGAAGGCGTTCGAGGGCGTCCCGCACCCGTACGACCGCAAGAAGCGCATGGTCATCCCGAGTTGCCTGAAGGTCCTGCGCCTGAAGAAGGAGAGGAAGTTCTGCAAGTTGGGCGACCTCAGCCAGCAGGTGGGCTGGAAGCACCAGGACCCAGGGGGGGGAACACATGTACCGATACCGCACTCCATCCATCGTTGCCACGGCCACACTCGCCTCGAAGTCCGTCTGAGGACACACCCCGGGAGATGTCGGGGTATGCCGTAGCGGGATCGGCCCTTCTTCGCTACGCCGAGGACCTGGTGGAGCGCCTCGAGAAGCAGCGCAAGGTCAAGAGCGAGGTGTACTACAAGAAGAAGCTCGGGTCGAAGAAGGCGCGCCAGGCCGCCGTCAGGGCCGCGGCCGTGTCTGCCGAAGACAAGGGCATCCTCGAGGCCGCCGGGCTCGCGTGAGTGTCAGCGCGGCGGGTCGCTCTGAGCGCCTCTGGGAGCCCCTCCGTCCTTGCACCCTGGACTCCAGCGCCGCGGGCAAAACATTCGCGACGGCCACCGTCTTTGGCATGCGTTAGGCCTCCCTAGGAGGAGGATGAGGAGGGGGAGGAGGAGGAGGAGGAGGAGGAGGAGGAGGAGGAGGAGGAGGAGGAGGAGGAGGAGGAGGAGGAGGAGAAGGCGGGAGCTGCAGGGAGGAGGCTGAGGAAGAGGCGGAGTAGCAGAGAGGAGGACTCGGAAGACGAATGAGGAGGAGGAGGAGGAGGAGGAGGAGGAGGAGGCAGAGGAGGAGGAGGAGGAGGAGGGATGGGATGATGGTGGAAATGACGGCGATCGGGTTCTCCTCGCTCGCTGGCCAGACGCTGCCCATGAGCTCCGCGGCCTGGGGCGCCCGGAGGCGCACGGCGGGGGACAGGCAGGCAGGCAGGGTCGGCCGCACCATGGAATCAAGCGGAGCGGCCGCGACGAGGGGGCGCGCGTGGAGTGCATGCGCGTCGGGGTCTACCGCGCGGACATCCAGGAGACGTTCCAGCTAGAGCCCAGCGCCTTTCGAACCCTCCTCGAGGACCTCAAGCCGACGGTCGACTTCTACCTGACGGAGGAGGAAAAGGTGCGCAAGGGTACGGGAGTCCTGGGGTTCCCGCCCCCCCTGTGTATCAGCACTCTCGCCAGGGATTCTGCCTCACGCTCCATCTAATACGGATTTTAGCGCTTGCTCCCTCGTGGCCCTGATGTAAGGCTTCTGACAGTTGTCAGATGCTTCCCCCGTCGGAGTCGTTGCCTGGGTGTCTGCTCTTGTCGCGTACCGTCGCGGGGTGGCGGCGCATTCCGCGCGTGTTCTCGGGACCACCCAGAGACCCGCCTCCGCTCAGCCATTTCCTTGCGGAGTTTTCTGAGCGGGGCTGGGTCCCAAAAATTCGGCTCATCACGGGCCAGAGTTCGGGGACCCGCACCCGCTGGGTCAAACTCTTAGGGTAAGCATCTAAGCAAGAACGGGTCCAGAGCATAGAGTTCATGCTCGCTCGAGGATGGTGCCACTCCCCTCCTCCGCCGCACTCCTCCCTCTGCCTGTGCGTGCGTGCGTGCGTGCGCGCGTGCGCGCGCGCGCGTGCGTGCGTGCGTGCGTGCGTGCGTGTGTGCGTGCGTGCGTGCGTGCGTGTGTGTGTGTGTGTGTGTGTGTGTGTGTGTGTGTGTGTGCGTGTGCGTGTGCGTGCGTGCGTGTGAGTGTGTGTATGTGTCTCTTTATGCTGCAGTTGCTGTGACTTGTCAACCAGATTTTGATTACGCCTTGATTTGCATGCTATGAATGCAGAATGCTAGACTGGTCATGAGAAGAATATTGCGAGGTCAAGATCGAGGATGTCGAGAATTACCATGAAGGACGGCTCTTAGCTCGTTGTATACTCAACCATGGATGGACAGGCATGCGTACGGTGGGATCTGGCGACAGGGGAAACGTAGTGTGCTACCATATCGAGGTCGCCAGATATTGACGATAACATTCGCGGCAGGCGAATGTGAACGTGCGACCAGCACATGATAATGTACGGCCAAGTTTTGGTTTTCTCTGAGAGGGGGGTGCGAGTCGAGTGGTACGCGCATGTTCTACATGGCAGCGCCGAGCCACCGTTATGTTGAAAACATGTGCGACATTTGCCCAACGTGGCAGTGCATCATCCCTTGCAGTTGTGTTTGAGAAGTAGGCCGACCCCCTGTCTGTCCTGTCTATCGCTTTTCATGTGTTGCTCATGCCCGAGGCAGAGGTTGCCCTCGGAAGAGACTTGGGTCCTCTCGGGTGTCCTCCGCAATGGTTCCGACAGGATCCAGCGCAGCAGCGCAGCGAAGGGTCTGAGTTTATCATCCGCCCCAGTTCAGTGCCCTGCCTGAACTGGTGCGGCTCGTAAGCACCCCCTCCATGTCCTCAGCGCCGTTGCCTCTTCCGGCCTCGTGGCGCGGGGGTCGATTATGGCACTCTGGGATCACCTTTGGGGGACCTGCTGGGAGCCATTTGGCCGTCTTGAGGCTGTGGTGGGCGCCTCTGCCGAGCTCTCCTCTGAAGCGGTTCGGTGGAGTCATCGTGGGGCCGTTGGAGCATTGTGCGAACGTTCGTAAGGCGAGGCAGGCCTCGCGGACTGCGGGGCCGCATTCATGTACGTGGTTGTGTGCGTACGTCCTTCGTGAGCTCCCTACTGGGGACTCTCAGGCCGTGTCTGGGTTGTTTTGGGACCGTCTCTCGGGCGTCTCGAGTCGCCTGGAAGCCTCCTTGCGGCCATCTCAAGCTGAAAGGCATCGACGGCCAGCAGCACAGGAGTCCTTGAGGCTCATCGGCCGGTTTTGTCACCCAGGCCCCTCGGAGAATCGTTCCATGGGCTTCTGGCTGCATCTTGGTTCTCGTGTGCTTACATTGAGGCTTCGTGGGAGTCGTCGGTCGGGTCGTCTTGGGACGGTCTTGGAGTATCTTGCATCCGACTTGGGTCGGGCTCAAACCATTCTGGTGCTTTCTTGGGGAGGTCGTGGCCCAGCCAGCATGAATGGGGGGAATCTCTCAGGGGTTCAGGGGTGGGCGAGTCGAAGGCGGGGGGCGCCTTTCGACACTTCGCGGATCCCTGACCGAGATTTTTTCGGTCGCAGCGCGGCAGAGGCGATCCGGGCGCGGCGATCCGCTCGCGCGCTTCAGTAGCTGGGGGCGCGCGGCGTATGTATTAACCGGCAGTGGTGGAGGGAAGGAGGAAGAAGGCGGCCGCAGAAAGCAGGCGGGGGAGCGGAAAGGGTTTCAGGAGAGCGGTCGGTGCGGCCAGCCTGTGCTGGGGCGACCTGGTAGTGCACGCGGAGCGGCGTCACGACCACACCCAGGGGCAGAAGCCGAGGCTGCAAGCGCTGAAAGCGTAGGGCAAGGCGAACCGGATCGTCAGGAGGAGCTGCACGCGGGCCCACAGACGCAAGAGTGGGAGCATCCGAATGTCCGTCGCGAAGCCGTGAGTGTCAGACTTACGCGCCAACAGGATGCAGACACGGAGTGGACATCCGTGGCGGGAGGCGGGGTTGCGAACCGCATGTCGGTTCAAAATGTTGCATTGCTGAGCCGATGGGCTGCTGAGCTGCTGAGCTGCTGAACTGCCGCAGCGGTGCAGCGGGAAGAGAAGCCACCCGCCAACGCCAGAAGAGAAAAAAAGAAAGAAGGGAGGATTCACCGACGGCCGGCACACCCATCACAGCCGGGCGGGGCGGGGGCGCCCGGCCACAGGGCTGGTCACGCGGGGCGCCCGGCTGCAAGAGCAGCGGGGCGGGCAGCCCGGCGAGAGCTGGGTGAGGGGCCGCCCAGCGAGCGGGGGCAGCGCGCAGGGCAGCACCAGGCGCGCAGCACGGCTGACCGGCATCTGCGCGAACAACATGGCGCCTCCAGCAGTTGCACCGGGAGCGCCACCTAGACACCTCCAACACGACATTTTCACTGTCACGCCTGATCGGTGCACATACTTCTGCAGGGAGCGTCCGCCTTGGGGGGGGGCGCTCCAGCCAGGGAGCTAAGAGAGAATCCACCTTGCGGGTGGACGCTCCGTGCCACCTTGGGGGGCAGCACGCGGAAGGAAACACCTGATCGGTGCACGGACAAGTAAGGAAACAGGGGGCGTCCGCCGTGGGGGGTAGGCGACCCGAGTGTGAGAAGGGTGAAGGATGGCGGTCGCATCACCCTGGGGTGCGGCACGTTCAGTCGCGTGACCCTGAAGGTGCCCACCTTGGGGGGCAGGCGTGCACACACTGCGACTCGCGCACGGCCGAGCGACAGCGTTCGCTGCTGGAGTGGGAGCCCTGAGCACCCTGAGTCCACGCGCGCCAGTCCACGGGCCATCGCTTTCACAGTGGCCCCGACTGGGGCTTAAGTTCCTCGCAGGCGGGACTGGTCCCCGGAGGGCCACGAGGCGTCGCTGGCGCGCTTGCCACCTTTGCCTTTCCCCCCCCCCCCCACCTGTGTGTAACTATCTGTCGCTCTTGCTTCTGGCGCCAAACGTCGTCCCAGTGGACCCATATGCGGCGGTAGCAGCAACAGGCCCGAAAGTTGTAGAAGGATGCGTTGAGGTCAGCCAGGAATTGCCTGCAGAAATTCTCGCTGCCGTCCGGGTTGTAGCGCCGTTTGCCTCTCGCCTTGCCATCTCGGCCGTCACAGGCCTGGCTCCAGCCCTCCACGAACATCGCCCACATATGCCTTTGAGACGGTTTTACTTCTGACCAGGTCTCGGAGCCCCCCTCTCTCCGTTTCCACTATTGTCCCCAGTTGATGTCACACCAGGGTGTGCGGTAGAGGCTTTCGCGCGGGTCATGCCAGCCACGCTGGTGGTACGTTGAGTCGCATGCGAAACCCTCGAGGCTTGGTGCGGGTGTTGGGCCGTCCCAGGACGATGCGTCTCCCCGTGCGCCAGCAGTGTGTCCTCCTCCGCTGCCCCTGGACCAGGTGCGCGGCTTGCCTGGCCGTAGCGTCGAGAGGAGCTTGGTCGACATCCCCCCTGTGGTCTTTCCAGGTTACGCCGTCGGCCGCGCCCGTTGCGGCGGCTGCGCCGCCCGGAGGACGGCGCCTACCCGACAACGCAGGAGCACTCAAGCACTCCATCGTGCAATCACAGTGGTGGATCTTATATGAAAGTTGTCAGGAAAAGTTGTTCGTGCTGATGCCATTCCATCTATTACTTCTGAGGGCTTATATTCGAGTACGTATCCGAACCCGAATCGTCGGATAGGCAGGGTCTGCTGAGGATCCCTTCATTCAATCTCGGGTGTATATTTTTGTAATATATGCGTGGTCAACTTCTCTCACACTGAGCCCCACACATTCCGAAGCGCCCCTGGTTGTGCTTCCTCATCCTATCCCAGATAGCTTGCTTTCAGTCTTCCACACATGGAGAAGTGCAGCTACGTGTGTATTGAGCATGCGTGCCTGCTTGTACACATACGTATGCTTACATGATACACGTACCTACCTTAAACTTTAGTTTTATATGTATATGCACATGTATACATATACATATACATATGTTTGCTCAACGAGTCATTTCCATGACTGTACCTCTTTAGTCTAGTGCTGCGGCAGTCCATGCCGGCCGCGCCCGAGGACAGTTGCATGCCTGCCTGCTTTCAACGTAAGATGGGGTTTTATCAGTTCCAGGGTGACGGCTAGGGGCTAGGGTTGTCTCTGACATGTGCACGGCCTCATGCGATTCCGAACGACACGCACTACCAGTGTGCAAAAGGCAACCAGTCGCGTTTGCAAGCGACGTTCCTTGCCGCGAAAGGCGTTGATGTTGCAGAGTGCGGTGTGTAAGACCGTGCCAAATGTTTGATTCGTGTTGTGCTTGAGGTAAGATTCGGTTCCCATGTTTGATCACCCCGCCGCCGAGTACTTGCCGAAGTGGAGAAGACCCTGAAGGATCTTTGCGACCCCGACAAAGTTGCTGCTCAACTGGGAAGGGCGAGCCAGTCATCGCCGCAGAAGTCGGGAAGCCAGCAAGATGAGTACACACTCAAGCTTGTCGAATACGAGGTCGTTGAGGGCAGTGGCGGTATTAAGAGCGGTAAAAAGGTCAAGAAAGCTTCATACCGTGTAATCAAAGACGATTTCCCGCTTATCTACCATTTGGACGTGGGCGCTATGTACCCCAACATCATTTTGTCCAACAGGCTTCAACCGTCAGCAATTGTGTCCAAGGAGTTTTGCAATGCTTGTTCTTACAACGACCCTGCCAACAAATGCAAGAAGGACATGGACTGGAAGTGGCGAGGAGACAGGGGGGGGAAGCCACCCACTGGTGCTGGAGGCCTTCCCCGATGCAGCTCCTTCTCACTCCTGCCAAGACAGACGACGCTCTGCACGCAGCAGGTGTGATGGTTGTGGTCCACGGTGGGAGGCCTCCCGCACTGTGGCGAGCATCGGTTCCCCCCTCAGGGGAGTTGTACATGGCGACCAGGGCCGATGTTCGCGCCATCATGAACGAGATGGAGGACCTCTGCCCTGCCTCCTCCCTCCTTCCCTCCTTTCCACCTGCTTCCCATCTGAATTCCCCCTCCTCCCCCCTTCCTCCTCCTTCTCCTCCGTGAAAAGTCTCCAGATTCATCCGAAGACCTCGTGAGACAACCCGAAACGTCCACAAACCTCAGAATATTTCCAGAGCAATCAGAGGTCCAGATAATACCGATAACCTCCGAAAACCTCCCCTCTTCGTTCTTGCTCCCCACCTACCCTCCTATCCTCCACGCCCCCTAATTCTTCTCCTGCTGCTCCTCGTCATCCTCACCTCTGGAGGCCTCCAGAATCATCCGAAGACCTCGTGAGGCACCCCGAGGCCCCCACACGCCTCAGAAAGTTCCATAAACAATCAGCGCAGAATACCGAGAACTTCCTGAGACCCCCTGCCCGTCCCGCACTCATTATCATCCTCCTCTTCCTCCTCGTCACCCTCCACTCCTCATCACACAACAAATGCTCAAGACGCACCGAGTACATCCAAACGTATCAGAAAACTTTCAGCGACCTCCGAGCATACAAGCAGCACATGAGGCACTTCTACAAATTCACAATATGAAAACTACTCTGCTCTATCCCCTGGTGACGTCTGGGAAATGGTCGGCCCCCCTCCGTGTACTGGCTTTGTACACAGGATTCCCAGGAACTGGGTTTTCGCTTGGGTTGTTTTTTTAAAAATGCTGCTCTCGATGAGGCGCTGGCTTCATTTTCGGGCCACCGCTCGTTCCAAATCGTGCTCCCGCTGCAGGGCTGGCCTCATTTCCGCGCTTCCGCTCGTTCCGAATCGTGCTCTCGCTGCAGCGCTGGCGTCATTCTTTCCAGTGCCATGCCACGGCATGGTTTTCGGTCCTTCCAAACAGGCCCAAAAATCTAGAAACTGGCCCCCCGGAAAAACATCGGAAGTGATTACACATTCGGTGTCGATTCGTTCATTTTCTGGTTCGCAGAACCCCCCCCCGCAACTTGTGGCGTCGCCACGCCATGCTATGTCAGGCTCCGCGTCCTCCGCATCGTGCTCCCGCTGCAGCGTTGGCCTCCGTGCTTGCGTTCGTTCCGAATCGGGTTCCCGCTGCAGCGTTGGCGTCCATCATTTCCAGTGCCATGCCACGGCATGGTTTCGGTCCTTCCAAGTAGGCCACAAAATCTAGAAAATGGCCTCCCGAAGAAACCCATCGGAAGTGACCACACATTCGGTGTCGATTCGTTGATTTTTGGGCCGCAGAAGTTCCTTCTACTTTTGGGCGTCGCCACGCCAAGCTATGTCATGCTACGCGTTGATCTTCATCACCATGCTATGTCATGTAATGCTATGCTATGCTACGACATCCGATTATGCGAATAGAGAAGGGATCTGCGCCATGGTAAGGGATGGACGGGAGGGGTAGGACGTCAGATATGACGCGAGCGCACCTAGCTTGTCCCTCCCTCCCCCCCCCGCCCTGACGGTGTCTGGGTATCTCCTGATGTGTCAGGATCAATGAGGCCTCAGCGCCCTCCGAGGGACCAGGCACGTGCAGAAACCGCCACCAGTCCTCGATCTGTTCGGTTCGCCTGCCTCCCCTCCCCCTCCCTCCTTCTCGAGGACGAGAAGAGGAAGTACAACCATAAGGACCGCGATTCTCAGCAGACCGTGCGCGCGACGTGGAAGGAGCTTACGCAGAAGGAGCAGACCCACGAGATCACAAAGGCTGATGCGGGGAGGGGAAAGCAGACGGGAGCCTCGCTGTCAACCCACACAACACACAGCACACATCACACACCACACAACACAACACACAACACAACACACACCACACACCACACAACAGACAACACACAACACACAATACACAACACACAACACCCAACACACAACACACAACACACAATACATAACACACAGCACAAAACACAACACACACCACACACCACACAGCACACAACACACAACGCACACCGCACAACACACACACACCACACACCACACACCACACAGCACACGATATACACAACACACGACACACACCTCACAACACAACACACAACACACAGCACACAGCACACACCACACAACACACGACACACAGGACACAACACACAACACCCAACACACACCACACACCACATAACACACACCACGCACCACACACCACACACCACAGACCACAGACCACACACCACACACCACACACCACACAACACACAGCACACAACACACACCACACAACACACACAACACACGGCACACAACACACAACACACACCACACAGCACACAACACACAGGACGCAACACACCACACACCACGCACCACACACCACACACCACAGACCACACACCACACACCACACACCACACACCACACAACACACAGCACACAACACACACCACACAACACACAACACACAGCACACAACACACACCACACAACACAACACACAACACACAACACACAACACACACAACACACAAAACACACAACACACACCACACAACACATAACACACAACTCACAACTCACAACTCACAACACACAACACTCAACACACAACAGCACACACAACACACACACAACACACATCACACAACACACAACACACAACACACAGTACACAGCACACAACGCAACACACAACACACAACACACAACACACACCACACAGCACACAACACACAATACACAACACACAATACGCAACACACAACACACAGCACACAAGACACACAACACACACACACCACACACCACACACGACACACCACACACCACACACCACACACCACACACCACACACCACAGCACACAACACACAGCACACAACACACACATCACACAACACACACAACACACAACACACAGCACTTACACACTCACAGTCAAGGGGAAATGATGTTTGCCTCTCGGGGCCCGCTTGGGAAGGCTCGTTGGGCTCTTGGGGCGTCGCGAAAGCTTCTCGGACCGCCTTGGGGCAACTTGGGCGTCTTGGACCGGTCGTTCTGTGATTGGGGGCTTTATTGGGCCGTCTTGAGGGCCTCTTGGGATCCTGTTGGTCCGTCTTGGGTCTCTCCTGGGCTCGAACAAGTCATGCGGAAACATTCTGGTGGCCCCAGAGGGCGCGCGGGAAGCCCATTATGAATCCTTAGGCTTGAGGACTGTGGCTCGGAGGATTGAGCAAGGGACCTGGGGAAGTCTCTTGGGATCGTTTTTGGGCCTCTTGGTGTCTCTTTCAGGCCTCTTGGGGGCCTTCTGGGGCCTCCTGGGGGCTTCTTGGGGGCCTGTTGGGGCCTTTTGGGGGCTTCTTGGAGCCTCTGGGGAACCTCGTGAGGGGAAAAGCTGGGATTGTCGGTTTGGGCTCCCCTAGTGGCCTTCTCCTGGGGCTGTCTTGGAGCCCTCTTGGTCTTGAGCCGTATTGACGCGGTCTCGGGGGCCTCTGGGACCGTCGGCAAGATCGTGAAGGCCGAATGTCGTTAAGGTATCAATGTACGTTTCCCATCGGAATTGGACGATTTGGACCTCGTGGATCTCTCTTCGCAGGTGGTTGGATACCTGTTGGGGCGTCTTGGAGGCGTCTTGCGAGCATGACATGCGTCGGGAATGGCGTTTGGAATGGCGTCGGCCCCCACCCCCTCCACGGTCAGAGCGTCGGAACGGCGTCGGGAATGGTGTGGGACCCCCCGCCCCCGAGCACTAAATGCGTCGGGATTGGCGTCCACCCCGCCCCCCCTTCCCCTTAATGGTGTGGGCCCCCCCGCCCCCGAGCACTAAATGCGTCGGGAATGGCGTCGGAAATGGCGTCCCCACCCCCCCTGTGCAGAGCGAAGCTTGAGCGAGCTCAAGTCGACGCTCTCAGAAAGCTCACACGCCGGATCGGCGAATTGAGCTTCTGTTTATAACAACCACCAGGGTATAGGTGGTAGGTCAACGTAGCGAAGTTGTTCTTGATATGATTCATAATCGCAGCAAGTGGGGAGGCTATAGTGAATTAGAGTGAAGAATATGACTAGTATGTGTTTTCATTGACCATAAGTATGCAAGTCTGAAGGTAAGCATAGCAGTAATCTCAACCAGGCTGGTGGTATCGAGTACCCGGGACCCCAGCACCCCTAGACCCGAAGCTCCGAATGCCTTGTGACATGAAGACCTGGATACCCTAAGACTCTAATGCCCGACTAAACTCAGACTTGAAAACACGAGCACCCTTACACCCTAAGACCCTAATGCCCGAAGTTCTGAATGCTTTAAGTCCCTGAGACCCCAGTGCTCTCAGTCCCTAAGAGGTGGTAGTTCCAAGTAGCGATGTTGTTCTGGATATGATTGATAGATCGCGGCAAGTGGGGAGGCTATAGTGAATTAGAGTGAAGAGTATGACTGCTATGTCGTTATGCAGGTCTGAAGGTAAGCATAGCAGTAATCTCAACCAGGCTGGTGGTATCGAGTACCCGGGACCCCACTACCCTCAGACTTCAGCCCCTACAGACCCTAAGACCTTGATGCTTTACGTCCCTAGCACCCGAAGGCCATAAGACCTTGACACAATGACCGCCTAAGACCCTGAGATGCTAAAACCCGTAGGCCCTAATCCTGAAGAGCTTGACACCCGATACTCTAACATACACATACCCTATACACCGAATGCCCTAATACACGTTTGCCCCAATACCATAATATCCTTTGATTATAAGAACCAGATGCCTTGAGACCCGAAGACCTTGAGATCCCAAGGCCTTTACACCATAAGACCCTGATACCCTCAAACAAAAGATCATCGCTCCCTAGGGCTGTAGGATCGTACGTCCTTAAGACCCCCATACACTAACACTCTTCGGATCCGAAAGCCCGAAGGCGCGAACGCCCTGTGACCCGAAGGCCTTAAGACCCGAAG